GGGGCTGGGAGCCAGGACTCCTGGGTTCGCTCCTGGCTCTGGGTGGGAGTGCGCCGGGAGGGTTGGGACCGGGACAGGGCAATGGGGGGCCCGAGTGAATGGTCTGTGCGCCCCCCAGAGACCATGTCGGTGGACTCGACCCTCCCCAGCCCCAACCAGCTGAGCAGCCCCAGCCTGGGCTTTGACGGGCTGCCCGGCCGGCGCCGCAAGAAACGGACCAGCATCGAGACCAACGTGCGCTTCGCCCTGGAGAAGAGCTTTCTCGCGGTGAGCCCCCCCCCGCCCCTGGGGCCCCCGGGGAGAGACCCCCCCCCGCCCCGCTGCCTTGCGAGGGACCCCAATTGTACTGGTGGTACGTCACCTATCGCTGGCTGGAGGGTGGCTAATGGGACGCCCATTTGTAAAAAGGCTCCAGCAGCGATCCCGGCAATTCCAGGCCGGTGAGCCTGACTTCAGTCCCGGGCAAACTGGTTGAAACTCTAGTAAAGAACAGAATCGTCAGACAGGGATGAACACGATTTGTTGGGGAAGAGTCAACTCAGCTTTGGTGAAGGGAAATCACGCCTCGCCAATCTACTAGAGTTCTGTGAGGGGTCAACAAGCGTGTGGCCAAGGGGGAGCCAGTGGCGGTCGCGTACATGGGCTTTCAGAAAGCGTTTGACAAGGGCCCTCCCCAAAGGCTCTTAAGCAAAGGAAGCTGCCACGGGATAAGAGGGCAGGTCCCTCTCATGGGTCGGTAACTGGTTAAAAGACAGGGAACAAAGGGGAGGAAGAAATGGTCAGTTTTCAGAATGGAGAGATGGAAATAGCAGGGTCCCCCAGGGCTCTGTACTGGGCCCAGGGCTGTTCAACATATTCACAAGTGAGCTGGAAAAAGGGGTAAACAGTGTGTCACGGGCTCCCAGCCCCCCGCGCTCCCTCGGCTCCCTGCAGCCCCTGGGAGGAATCCCCCCAGTGTGACAGCCCTTCTCGGGGGTCACAATCTCTTCGGGTTAGGCCCTCTGGCCTCGCTGCCTCCTGGGACTGCACCTCTGAGCCCTCAGCAGCCTGTCTCTGCCATGGGCCCCCTCAGGGAGTCCCCTCGATCTGGGCCACGGGACCCCCACCCCCAGAGAGAGCAATTCCCCCCCCCCCCCCCCCCCCCTGCCCTCCATACTCCCCGGCCCCTCCCCCCGCCACACGGGAGGTTTACTGAGCGTCTGGACCCAGCCCAGGCAGTTCTCAGGGCCCTCGGGCCTGGCCAGCTGGGTCTGTCCCGTCCCCATGGGTCCGGCTGCTCCTTGTCCCCAGCCCAGCCCAGCCCAGCCCCCTCCTTCCAGCCCAGGGGTAGGCAACCTATGGCACATGTGCCGAAGGCGGCACGCGAGCTGATTTTCAGTGGCACTCACACTGCCCGGGTCCTGGCCACCGGTCCGGGGGGCTCTGCCTTTTAATTTAATTTTAAATGAAGCTTCTTAAACATTTTAAAAATCTTATTTACTTTACATACAACCATAGTTTAGTTACATTTTATAGACTTATAGAAAGAGACCTTCTAAAAACGTTAATGTATCACTGGCACGTGAAACCTTAAATCAGCGTGAATAAATGAAGACTCGGCACACCGCTTCTGAAAGGTTGCCGACCCCTGATCTACCGATCATCCGATATCATCTCCCCCCACCAGCCCCTCCTCCGCCCTTTGTCTTCCGTCCCAGGTAAACAGGCCGCTGGGCCCCTCTCTTCTGTCCTTTGTTCCCCCCTGGCTGGACCCGGCTGGTCAGGTCCCCGGGCCCCTCTCTCCTCAGCCCATTGGCCCCCGCCCCCGGCCAGAACCGTCTGCTCCCGAGCTGGGCTGGGCCCCCCGGTCACCAGTCGCTGGGTCCCCAATCTCCAGGCCAGTGTCCGGGGTCCCGGCTGCTAGGCGAGGTCACACCTGGTCCCCTGCAATTACAAACCCCCTCCCACCTTGTTACACACGCAGTACAGAGGGAAACTGAGGCACACACAGTGTTCACGTAAAACACTAAGAAAATCCCCCACTTTGTCACATCTCTCCCCCCTTTGAGTCTGAACTGAGCAGGGTCACTCCAGCCGGTGACCTGGGGAAGTTCAGACCCCCTCTCCTGGACAACGCATCCGCTAGAACATTGGCACGCCCCTTAACCTGGCCCGTGGGAGCCAGCTGAGGTCACTCAATCAGGGTGAACTGCAAACAAAACGGGGCAAACAAACCCCAAACGCTGGTGGATCTTCCAATACTTAGATTTACCAACCAGCCCAAAACAGCTTCTGTATCACCTCACTGGTTACTCAGACGTCCAAACAACGCAGTTCCCTTAAAGTGCCCAGCCTCAGGCCTCCGTCCAGACACACACGTCAGATATGATGATAATTACTGAAAATCTGATCTCATTATATAAAAGAAAAAGTTCTTCCAATCCCAAAGGATCAGCCCCAGACCCAGGTCCAATGATAACTTAGATCTGACCCAAAATACTCGCTATAGCCAATTCTTATTAACTAAGCTAAAATTTATTTAAAAAGAAAAGAGAGAGCGTGTTGGTTAAAAGATCAATATACAGACAGACTTGAATTCAATTCTTGAGGTTCAGGTACATAGCAGAGGTGAGCTTGTAGTTGCCAAAAGTCCTTTTAGAAATAGTCCAGAGGTTATAGTCCCATGTCCATATTCGGGGTGACTCCAGTCAGTGACTGGGGATCTCAATCCTTGTGGCTTAAGGTTTCCCCCTCTTGAAACCCAAAGCGGATCTGAGATGAAGCAGGATCGTGGCCCAGGGTTTCCAGCAGCCTTTTGGCCTGAGAAAACAATAGGCTTAATTCTCCTTCCAAACATCCTGGCAATTAGCACAGGGTAATTTATCCATTACACAGTTCAGATACAGGTTACCACAACCTTCAAAGAGACAGAGACAATAATACTATTTCCCTCAAGTGTCTCCCTAAACGTTAATATTCCTTTTTTGGTCTTTGAATCAAAGCTGTAGCAATAGACAAGACTTGTTTGCTGACGTCACAAGCCCTGAGCAAACACCTCCCTTCTACCGCTAACAATGCAGACTTGCATTTCAAAGCTCTGTTCAGTTACAGATCTTCCTAACCAGTCTCTAAAGTTCGGCCCTGGGTCAGGTGTCACAGAGTGTGGGGGGACACCGGGCCCTGCACCCCCGGCTTCCTGCGATTCACCATGACTCTCAGCCAGCCAGTAAAGCAGAAGGTTTATTTAGACGACAGGGACACAGTCCAAGACAGGTCTTGCAGGCACAGACAACAGGACCCCCCCCCCAGTTAGGTCCATCTTGGGGTCTCAGGGCACCATAGCCCCCTTGGGAGGTCAGAGCCCCGTCTGCCTCCCAGCCATTCCACCAGCCCGCTCTGAAACTCCCTCCAGCCTTTGTTCAGTTTCCCGGGCAGAGGTGTCACCTGGCCTCTAACCCCTTCCTGGGTTCTCATGTTACATGCTCAGGTATTCTCCTTCGGTCAGTCTCCCATCCCCCCACGCAGACTATCCTAGCCACACTCCCCTGTCAGCATTCACAGACCACAGTAAGAACAGTCCCAGTTCGTCACATCAGGTCAGTCTGGGAGGTAATTAACTCTTCCTGGCCCTGTCACCTTCCAATGAGATATGATATCACACTCCTAACGTCACACTGGCCCACCCGCATCTCATACTCTGGAGGGACAGACTCCACCTCAGGAGCTCAACGTTGGCCCTTCTCATCTGGTGCAGCCGCGGCAGGCGAGTGGTCGGTGTAGGCCGCGAAGCGCCGCCCAAATAGATCCGGCTGCAGCTTTTTAAGAGCCCACCCCATGGCCAGGCATTGCTTCTCTGTGGCCGCATAGCCCTGCTCAGGTACCCGATGGGGGGTCTCTCCCCCTTTGCATTGGCCTGTGCCGGCACCACGCCCAGCCCTGTGTCTGGGGCATCGGTGAACGCCATAAAGGGCTTGTCAAAGTCTGGGTTTCCCAGCACCGGGCCCTTGACCAGATCCTCCTTCAGCGCCCGGAGAGCCCTCTGGCACTGCCCGGTCCTTCTCACATAGCTCAGTGGTGGGAGCCGACACAGAGCTAAAGTGGGGCACACACCTCCGGTAGAGCCCCCCCATCCCGAGAAAGGCCTGGGCCTGGTTCTTAGTCTGGGGAATGGGCCAGTCTCTGATCGCGCCCGCCGTGGCTGGCTCTGGCTTTCAGCAGCCGCTCCCCACCTTGTGCATCTCAGCTTTTCCAGTCAGCCCTGCATCCTGGGGGCGACTCACCCCCTCTTCACCTGGGACACGTGGTCCTCCCAGGTCTGGCGAAACACAAAGAACTCATTGGGATATGCAAGGGGAGAGTCCTCCCCACCCCCCAGCATCTGATCCACCCAGCACTGACAGCCCCCCTGAGGCCAAACGGTAGGACCAGGGGCGGTGAGAACCGATTTTTGTCTGGCATCTGGAGCCAAAGGCACCTGCCGATAGCGTTTGGTGAGATCCCTGGTAGTGGGGTACCGAGTCCCCCCCAACTTGTCTAGGATCTCGTCAGGCCTAGGCATGGGGCAGGCATCGGACATGGTGATGGCATTGAGCTTCCGATAGTCCCCACAGAGTCTGATCGACCCGTCTTTCCTGGGCACCAGCCCCCAGGGCTGGGGGGTGGCTGGATCACCCCTAAAGCCAGCATGGCCCTGAGGTCTCCCTCCAGGGCCTGGGCTGTGTTCCCAGGGACTCTGAACAGGGAACACCTGACGGGAGGGCCGGCTCCCGGCTCCACCCAGTGGACAGTGAGCCCAGGCCGGCTGGATCTCCGCCTGCCAGACGGGTTACTGGCCGGAGAGGGGAACTGATTCCAGCGAAGGGCCTGCTCCTGTCTCAGGGAATCGATCCATCAAGGGATCATCTCCCTGCGGCCAGGACCAGCCTCTCCCTGGCACAGTTCGGCTCCAGCACGTTGACCTGGTCCCCTCGGTGGCTGTGAGCCCGGCTGGGCAGTTCCACCACATCGTTCTCCTCATCCAGCTGCTTGATGACCTCGAAGGGCCCGTCCCAGGCAGCTCGCGGCTCATTCTTTCTCACCGGGACGAGCCCCTCACCTGGTCCCCGGTGCCAGAGGCTGAGCGGTCGTACCAGACCTGCCTCCCTTGGGCCCTGGCTAGGTTCTCCCTGGCCGGACCCTTGAGCTCAGGGAGCTTTTCCCGGAAAGTCAGTCCATACTCCAGCACTGGTTCTCCATCGGGGGAGGCCTTCCCCTCCCATCCGTCCCTCACCAAGCCCAGGGGTCCCCTCACTTCCCTCCCATACAGCAACCACAAAGGAGAGACCCCCGTGGCTTCCTGGGGCACTTCCCTGTACGCGGACAGCAGGTGGGGTAAATACTAGTCCCCGTCCTGTGGATGCCGGTCCATGAAAATCTTCAGCATCATCTTCAGGGTCCCATTAAATCTCTGACTCCACCAGCCCGTTGGACTGGGGGTGATACGCCGAGGCCCAGGTGGGCCAGACCCCACACTTCTCCCACAGGCACTGGAGTGGGGCTGACTGACATTGGAGCCCTGGTCTGTAAGGACCTCCCGGGGGACCCCCTCTGCTGAAGATGGTCAGCAGCGCATCTGCCACGGTGTCTGCCATGATGGAGGACAGAGCCACCGCCTCCGGGTAGCGGGTGGCGAAATCTACCCCCACCAGGATGTATTTCTTCCCTGACGGGGTCACCTTGCTGAGGGACCCCACTATGTCCATGGTCACCTTCTGGAAGGTTCCGCTATGCTGGGTAAAGGTCTCAGAGCTGCTTTCCCCACCCTCTGGCAGAGGTCACAGGACCTGCAGTAAAGCTGGACGGCGTCACAGACCCCGGGCCAGTAAAAGTTCTGCAGCAGCCTCTGCCCGATGCCCCGAGACGGGGACATCATGGGCCAGGCACAGTAGCCGCCGGCGGCACTTCTGGGGGACCACCAGCTGCCTCCGGATCCCCCACGGTTCAGGTTTTCCTCAGGGGCCTTTCCCGGTACCGGATCCCTTCTCACCCAGGGAGTTTTCCCTGCAGTCCTGCCCGGGGTCTTGCAACATGGTGGTCCACAGGGCCCTCAGCTTCTCCAAGGAGGGACCCTCCTGCTGCTCGGTCTGGAATTCAGCTGCTGGGTTTGAGGCCCCAGTCCTTTGACTGTGCCTCAGTTTCCCCACCTCGGGGCAAAGCCTCGGTCTCAGCCCTCTTAAGCCCTGTCCCCAGTCCCCTGCCCCCCGAGTTGGAGATTCCAGCCCCCTGCTGGGTGGATTCCCGGTGCTGGGCCGAGCTCCAGCCACAGGCAATGTCCAGGGCGCCGTCTGGCCAGGTCTCCAAACCATCCCCCATCAGCATCTCTGCAGGTAGTTGATCCGGCACCCCAACCTCTTTGGGGCTGTCACGGAGTGTGGGGGGACTCGGGGCCCTGCACCCCCGGCGTCCT